AAAAGATTATTTTTTTCAAGGACCAATAGACGTGGATTTTTAAAAGATTATTTTTTCAAGGACCAATAGACGTGGATTTTTAAAAGATTATTTTTTCAAGGACCAATAGACGTGGATTTTTAAAAGATTATTTTTCAAGGACCAATAGACGTGGATTTTTAAAGATTATTTTTTCAAGGACCAATAGACGTGGATTTTTAAAAGATTATTTTTTCAAGGACCAATAGACGTGGATTTTTAAAAGATTATTTTTTCAAGGACCAATAGACGTGGATTTTTAAAAGATTATTTTTCAAGGACCAATAGACGTGGATTTTAAAAAGATTATTTTTTCAAGGACCAATAGACGTGGATTTTTAAAAGATTATTTTTTCAAGGACCAATAGACGTGGATTTTTAAAAGATTATTTTTTCAAGGACCAATAGACGTGGATTTTTAAAAGATTATTTTTCAAGGACCAATAGACGTGGATTTTTAAAAGATTATTTTTTCAAGGACCAATAGACGTGGATTTTTAAAAGATTATTTTTTCAAGGACCAATAGACGGGAATTTTTAAAGATTATTGTTTCAAGGACCAAAGGACGTTTTAAAGTTATTGTTCCAAGGAACATCAAGGACCAGATCAATAAACGTGGATTTTCTAGAGAATATTTTTCCAAGGACCATCAAGGACCAGACCAATAAACGTGGATTTTCTAGAGAATATTTTTCCAAGGACCATCAAGGACCAGATCAATAAACGTAGATTTTCTAGAGAATATTTTTCCAAGGACCATCAAGGACCAGACCAATAAACGTGGATTTTCTAGAGAATATTTTTCCAAGGACCACCAACGTGTATTTTTAAAAAAAAAAATATTTTTTTAAACCAATAGGATCAAAAGTCGTGGATTTTTTAAATATTCCTTTTTCAAGGACCAATAGTAGTCGATTTCTTAAAGATTAGACCATCAAGAACCAGACCAATAAACGTGGATTTCTGAAAAAAAATTTTAAACCTATGAAAATAATTCTTTAAAAATCCACGTTTAGATCTCTGTTAATCCTTTGGAAATAATTTGTAATCCTTTGAAAATAATTTTTAAAAAATCCACGTTTATAGCTCTGTTAATCCTTTAAAAATAATTTTAAAAATTTTAATCCTTTGAAAATAATTTTTAAAACTTTGAAAACAATTTTTAAACCTATGAAAATAATTCTTTAAAAATCCACGTTTAGAGCTCTGTTAATACTTTGTAATCCTTTGAAAATAATTTTTAAAAAAATCCACATTTATAGCTCTGTTAATCCTTTGAAAATAATTTTTAATCCTTTGAAAATAATTTTTAAACAGTCCACGTTTACAGATCTGTTAATCCTTTGAAAATATTTTTTTAATTTTTAAACCTCTGAAAATATTGTTTAAAAAATCCCCGTTTACAGCTCTGTTAATCCTTTGATAATAATTTCTAAATTTCGAATCAATTGAAAATATTGTTTAAAAATCCACGTTTACAGATCTATTAATTCTTTGAAAATATTTTTTAAATTTTTAATTCTTTGAAAATAATTTTTTAAAAATCCACGTTTACAGATCTATTAAACCTTTGAAAATATTTTTTAAATTTTTAATTCTTTGAAAATAATTTTTTAAAAATCCACGTTTACAGATCTATTAATCCTTTGAAAATATTTTTTAAATTTTTAATTCTTTGAAAATAATTTTTTAAAAATCCACGTTTACAGTTCTGTTAATCCTTTGAAAATATTTTTTTAATTTTTAAACCTCTGAAAATATTTTTTAAAATATCCATGTTTACAGTTCTTTTAATCCTTTGAAAATAATTTTTTAAAAATCCACGTTTACAGATCTATTAATCCTTTGAAAATATTTTTTAAATGTTTAATCCTTTGAAAATAATTTCTAAATTTTGAATCCCTTGAAAATAATTTTTAAAAAAATCGTTAATCCTTTAAACATAATTTTTAAGAAATCCGCGTTTACAGCTCTTTTTATCCTTTCAAAATAATTAACAAAAATCCTAATATCCTTTGAAAATAATTTTTTTTAATTTATTTACAGCTCTGTTAATCTTTTAAACATACTTTTTAAGAAATCCGCGTTTACAGCTCTTTTAATCCTTTAAATAATTAAAAAAAAAAAATCCTAATATCCTTTGACAATATTTTTTTTTAATTTTTTTACAGCTCTGTTAATCCTTTAAAAATAATTATAAAATTTTTAATTCTTTGAAAATAATTTTTAAAAAGTCAACTTTTACAGCTCTGTTAATCGTTTGAAAATAATTTTTAAATTTTTAATCCTTTGAAAATCATTTTTAAAAAATCCAGGTTTACAGATCTGTTAACTATTTGCAAACATTTTTAATCTTTTAAAAATCATTAGAGATCTGTTAATCCATTTAAAATAGTTTTTAGCCCTTTAAAAATCCACGTTTTCAGATCTGTTAATCCTTTAAAAATAATTTTTAAATTCTTAATAATTTGAAAATAATTTAAAAAAATCCTCCATTGAAACCATTGGCCCTTTGAAAAATATTCTTTAAAAATCCACGTTTGTAGCTTTGTTGGTCCTTAAAATAAAATTTCTAAAACCGATGACATTGAAAACACTCAAAAGCCCATAGAAATAGTTTCTTCTATCAGGGCTCATTCGAAGCTATCGGTGCTTCGGAACAACTGTAAATCTCAAAAATGCACCATCATGCCATAAAAAGGCCTCGGTATTAAAAACCACATCAACATCCAAATGCAAGGCCTTGCATTTGCATGAAAAATTTCATAATTGTTTTGTCGGATCGAATAGACGATGATGATGATGATAATGGCTGAATGGCATGGATTGGGGATGAATGGACCCCTTTTTCATCCATGTCTCCATTTTACATCGCCTATTATTTCTTTTTAATGCCATTCGCCATTGTAATTTCATTTACAAAGTAACTTGCGGTTAAGGTAAACTGAAGTGTTTTTTCTTTTGTGTTGTGGTTGTTGTTGTAATCGTAATGACAATAACAGCGACTGGGAATTGAAAGAAATAATAAACCGTACAGAAATAATTCAAATCATTGACGAACGCATGGCATGTCAAATGGTCATAAAAAAGACAAGCAATGACGATCGCCGTAGCAATCGTCATATTTTTTATCAAGCCTCTTCGAAGTCTTATAGAAAATATATTTTTATACCCTCCACCATGGGTAGGAGGGTATATTAACTTTGTCATTCCGTTTGTAACACCTCTAAATATTCGTCGTAGACCTCATAAAGTATATATATTCATAATCAGCATAAAATTCTAAGACGATTTAGCGATGTCCGTCTGTCTGTCCGTCTGTCTGTCTGTCCGTCTGTCTGTCTGTCCGTCTGTCTGTCTGTCTGTTGAAATCACGATAGAGCCCACATTATTTGACGTAGACCTTTGAAATTTGGCACAAGTGTGTGTATTGTCCCTAGGATGGTTGGTATTGGAAATGGGATATATCGGTCCACGTTTTGGTATAGCCCCCATATAACGGTACCTCCCGATATACGGTATTTTGATTATTTTTGCCACATTTTTCCACGTATTTGTCTAAAAATTGACCTTTGTAAGTAGTAATGGATTCTAGCTCCAGTGGGGTAACATTATATGTATGGGTCCACGTTTTCATGTAGCCCCCATATAACGGTACCTCCCGTTATTCGGTATTTTGGTGATTTTTACCACATTTTTCCACGGATTTGTCTAAAAATTGACCTTTGTAAGTCATAATGGATGCTGGCTCCAGTGGGGTAACATTTTATGTATAGGTCCACGTTTTCATGTAGCCCCATATAACGGTACCTCCCGATATTCGATAATTTGATGATTATTGACACATTTTTCCACGGATTTGTCTAAAAATTGGCCTTTGTAAGTCATAATGACTTCTAGCTCTATTGGGGAAACATTATATATATAGGTCAACGTTTTCATACAGCCCCCATATAACGGTACCTCCCGTTATTCGGTATTTTTGTGATTTTTACCACATTTTTCCACGGATTTGTCTAAAAATTGGTCTTTGTAAGTCATAATGGATTCTAGCTCCAATGGGGGTAACATTATATGTATAGGTCAACGTTTTCATATAGCCCCCATATAACGGTACCTCCTGGTATCCAGTATTTTGATGATTTGTTGCCACATATTTCCACGGAATCGTTCCGATGATATGAAGATATTGATATTAAAAGTTTGTAGCGGGTGACAAAACATTCGCTGTATAGGTCCCCGTTTACTTTAGACTCCATATAACGGTACCTCCCGATTTTTGGTATTTTGATAATGTAAGTCGCAATTTTAAACGGAATTGGCCCAAATTTGTTATTTGAAATTTGTAACAAGTTCTTAATCCAGTGGCTAAGCATTATATAATATTCCATTTAGTATTTGGGGTTTGCAATGGGGTATGACATTGTATTTATAGGTCTACGGTAGCAACAACTTTATTTGAGTATGTATAGCGCCTATATGATGGTTTATAAAAGTTGTTATTGTTTGTGCCACAAATTTAGGGTAATAGATTTTAGTTTATCGCCACAGGTAGTATGGTTGTGATTTTTATTGCCTCTGTTTGCTTGATCCTGTTTTTGTACTGTTTCTACAGGTAGTACAGAGTGCATTTTGGTAACAATAACATAATAATTAAATGTACCTGTGGGTTATATAATCAAAACTCTCTTAAATTACCAGTAAACAAAGGTTAACCATAATAATAAAACTAATGTAATATACCTGGCGGTAATAAAACCCTCCCACTCGTCAACTTGGTTCATATACCTGGTACTCTACGCAGATTTTTACAAAACATCTTACCTGGGCAGTAAGTATTTGTGTATATAATAAACCAACTCAACTTTAACAAATCAGTTCACAACGAATCGTTAAACAAAACATAACCTAATACCAACGAAAATAACTGAAAAGTTTTCTATACAGATTTAAAACTGTTCCAATTCGACAATCAATAATTATGCCTAAACTACGTAAACAATCGGCACTACAACGTCAACGAATTATGAGGCAACATCTTCACAGTTACCGTGAACGGAATTTAAATGACGATCGGCTCAGAAACTCTCAACAGTTAGCAACAAGGAGACAGGATCCTGAATATAGAGAAAATGAGCGAGAAAGGGATAGAGCAGCACATTCAACTCGGCGCCAAGCAGTAAACTATAGATCTGCGGAACAAGAACGGGATATTTTGGCACACTCTATTCTCCGAATGAATTCCAGTTATCGAGCAACTGAACAGGCGCGCGATGCTTTGGCTCACGCTAATCGAAGAATGGATCCAACGTATAGGGAAGAAGAACAACAGAGGGACACATTGGCCCATTCAGTTCGAAGGATGGATCCGACGTACAGGGAGGAGGAACAACAAAGGGACACGGTAGCCCACTCAATGCGAAGAAGGGATCCGACGTATCGCGAAGAAGAGCAAGAGAGGAATACACTTGCACACTCTATCCATCGGATGAATGCGACATTTCGGGAAGGAGAACAAGAGAGGGATACTGTGGCTCGATCTGTTCGGAGAATGGATCCAACATACCGGGAGGAGGAACAACAGAGGGACACTTTGGTCCACTCTATTAGGAGAATGGATCCAACTTACCGGGAGAAGGAACAACAGAGGGACACTTTGGCCCACTCTATTCGGAGAATGGATCCAACATACCGCGAGGAGGAACAACAGATGAACACTTTGGCCCACTCTATTAGGAGAATGGATCCAAGTTACCGGGAGGAGGAACAACAGAGGGACACTTTGGCCCACTCTATTAGGAGAATGGATCCAACTTACCGGGAGGAGGAACAACAGAGGGACACTTTGGTCCATTCTATTCGAAGAATGGATCCGGCGTATCGTGAAGAGGAACGAGAAAGGGACTCTTTGGCAAGATCTATTCGGCGACAAAATGAAGAATACCGCCAAGTCGAAAGAGAGAGAGACACAGCAATGCACCGAGTACGTCGAAGAAATCCAGTTTTCCGTATTATGGAACAAGAGCGGAACACTTCAGCTCGTCGTGTCACCAGACAAGTTGCTATGCAAATGCAAGAAGCAGAAAACAGGATGAGAAGTTGCCGCGTCCTTATTCATCGTATGAATCCTACAAACAGAGAAAATATAAACATGAGACAAGCTCTGAGAAGTTCAGCAAGGAGAAGAAATTTGTCGCCGGAATCGAGGTCACAACTACAAATTCAAGATACTTTGAGGTGCAGAGCTAGGATAATTTCCAATTTTTGCAATATTATCAAGAGCGGACCCACAGAAGTTTGTATTTGTTGTGGAGGTCTTTGGTTTGTTACTCAAATTAAGACTCTCCGCAAAACATTTGTTCTACAAAAATACCCAAATTTAAGTACAGTTTTTTTCCTTTCAGACCAGTTTCCATCTGATAACGATATATATAAATTCTGCAACACATGCCACAAAATAATCAATGCGGGGAAGGTTCCTTCTATGTGTCTCTCAGAAGGTCTACATTTTCCAGCTATTCCGAGTGAACTTCAGGGCTTGACGTCGCTGGAAGAAAGGTTTGTTGCGCCACGAATTCCCTTTATGAGAATAGTTTCATTGGGTTATAATCGACAGTGTGCTGTAAGGGGTGCAGTAGTAAATGTCCCCATTTCACTCGATTCCACTGTCAACGTCCTTCCAAGAACGTCCGATCAAACTGAAGTTATCCAGGTTCATTTGAAGCGAAGAATATCTTACACACACTATTTTATGTCTGAAACGATTCGGCCCGGCAAAATTTTCGAAGCAGCAAGATACCTTATTGAAACCGAATTGTACAGGAAACATGAAATTTGTATTTCATCTGAATGGTTGGCCAATATGGGTCCTGCTGATCAAGTGCCGTTTATAGCAAATTCCGAAGATCGAAGTCTATTATCGAGCGTCATTGATTTTAACTTAGATGAAGATCACATTGAAGAACATAACCCCCAAGAAACCCTCTTAGATTATATTCCAGTCGAAAATGTTCAAATTCAAAATATTGAAATAGCTCCTGGTGAAGGCCATAGACCCATGGATTTGCTATTAGATGAGGACTCTGAAGAGCTATCATTTCCCACTATATACTGTGGTATTAAAAGAAAATCTACAGCGACAATAGCAAAATTGATAAAATCTGAAGCCCGGCGTTATGATAGAAGATGTGCGCGGGTAGACAAAGTCTTATAAAAAATTAGAGTTTTCTAAAATCAAGAACAGTATTTCTACTTGTTTGAGGAAGAAATTTGGTACTCGCAATTATACTGCAACGGATGCTCTTAATGACCGGTTCATACAAAATATAGTGCAGCACGACGAAGGGTATCACATTTTGAAAGGCGTGCGGTCTTCTCCAGCACATTGGGAGGCAGAGAAAAAGAAGGTCTTGGCTATGATCAGGCAATTTGGCATTCCAACGTTCTTTATAACTCTTTCTGCTGCTGAATCACAATGGCCAGAATTGATCGTTATATTGGTAAAAATTGCAGAAGGAAGGAATATTACCGAAGAAGAGGCAATGTCATTTAGCACCCAAAAACGGTACGAACTAATTAGGTCAGATCCAATTACATGTTCCAGGTATTTTGACCACAGAATAAGACACCTCTTCAAAAGTTTCACGGTTAATGGTGGAATATTCGACGAGTTTAATGTAATCAAATTCTACTGGAGAATAGAATTTCAACAGCGAGGGTCTCCTCATGTCCACGGCATATATTGGCTAAACAATGCCCCTTTGTTTGATATATCAGATCGAAATAGCTTCCAACGTCTTACGGATTTTGTAGATAAATTTGTTTCTACAGATTCGTCTAATAGCGAAATCCAAGACATAGTCCACTACCAGCAACACAACCACGGAAGAGCATGCCAACGTGAAATAAGAGGTCAAAAATTCTGTAGATTTCATATACCATATCCGCCAATGTCTAATACGGAACTTCTTTTGCCGTTTTCGGATGATGTAGATGAGCAACAATTATCAGCTCATAAGTGCAACTATGACAAAATTTATAATTTGCTTAACGCAAAGTTAACAGATATAGAATGTGAACGATTAAATAATTTTGATCAGTTTTTGGCAGACCCACGGATTAATATGGACAAAGATGAATATCTTGCGGCGATCAGATCTTCTATAAGAAAACCTAAAATTTTTCTTAAAAGATCCTTCAAAGACAGATCAATAAATGCTTTTAATTCGCGGATTTTAAAAATGCACAAAGCAAACATGGATATTCAATTTGTTCTGGATGCTTATGCATGCGTGTCATATATAGTTAACTATATAAACAAGTCGAATCGGGGTGTTTCACGTTTGTTGCAAGAAACAATGAACGAGATACGTGAAGGAAATTATTCTGTAAAACAAAAGTTGCAGCATATAGGTAATAAATTCATATCAGCATCCGAAGTCTCAGCCCAAGAAGCAGCTTACAATATCTTGGGAATGCATTTGTCTCAGTGTAGCAACAGTGATGTTTATGTCAATACTCTCTTGCCAGAAAAACGTGTTCGCATACTAAAACCGAGGCAAGAGCTTCATAATCTTTCTCCTGATTCAACCGATATTTATGTATCGAATTTACTTGAGCATTATATTCAAAGACCGGATAATCTAGGCGATGTATGTTTGGCTTATTTCGCTGCACATTATACATACTCTAAGACATTGCGCAAAAGGAATCGTCAACATGATGAGGAGGATGAAGATATTCTTGAAGATGACGAGGAACATCCTGATGATGTCGGGGCTTTGTTTCGCTTAAAAAATAATTCGGGTTACGTATATAAAAGAAGAAGTCCGGCTATAATTCGTTTTCCCTCATTTAGGGCCGACTTAAACAGGGACGACTATTTTCGCACATTGGTTATGTTATACTTTCCATGGCGTAACGAAGACGAAGACATTATAGGAAGAAACAACGAAGATACCTGCTCTATCTACATGGATGTAATTGAAAGGAACCGACAGCAGTTTGAAATGTTCAAGGATGGTGAATTACATGATATATTGCAAAGTATTCGTGAAGACAGTGATGGTGGTGAAGACCATGCGAGTAACGATAACATTACAAGTGACCAACTTTTAGACGAGGAGTTTAGAGCCTTGGTTGTTCCAGAATTAGAGGAAAATATAAATGTCTTCGACATTGACAACCACCATGAAGATGACCTGGAATCAGAAGCCAATGTACACTTAGTAAGACTCCCACCATTAGTAAATTTCGAAGAACTTCAGCATTTAATCAGAACGCTGAACAATAAACAGCGGTCTTATTTTCAACATCTTTTACAAAATATAGTTCAGAAAGTTCGATTTTATGAGTATGTTGCGGGAGGAGCTGGCGTAGGAAAAAGTCGCCTTATAAAAACCATTTATCAGGCAGTTACTTTTAGATATAATTCTATACCTGGCGCTAATCCGGATTTGCCAAAAGTATTATTAAGTGCTCCTACCGGAAAAGCTGCTTTTGGAATTGGAGGTGCGACATTACATTCACTTTTTTCCCTTCCAGTAAACCAGTTCCGAGGAGAGCTACGTCCACTAAGCAGTGATCTTGTTAATAAGCTCTTGGTTAAATGTACAGATCTGAAATTGATCCATGGTTGGATGTAGAATGTTAGGTTTCCTTGACGCACGCCTGAGGCAGATTTTTAAAACCACTGAAGCCTTTGGAGGAATCTCTATAGTTTTGTTCGGAGATCTAAAACAACTGCCTCCAGTTGGGGATAAATGGATATTTAGTACCAATACTGCTAATCCATACCACATCCTCGCAGGGGGTGGCTTGTGGGATCTGTTTTCCTTTAATGAGCTAACAGAGATAATGCGACAAAGGGAGGACCAAGATTTCGCGTTTGCACTGAACCGAATGTCAACTGGAGAAATGACTGAAGAAGATGTTTCGCTCATAAAGTCAAGGGTCATACCAACATCGGAGATACCAAATGAAGCAATTCATTTATTCCTGTCAAACGAAGAAACCGATAATTATAATTCCCTTAGATTGGAACAAATCACATCAGAACAATTTGTTTCCAAGGCATCCGATATTTTGAAGTCAGATTCATTAGCTATCGGTCAACGGAATCAAATTTTAAGTTCGGTTCTCAATTTAAAGACCTCAGAAACGCAAGGACTTTGTAGTGAACTAAAATTAAAATTGAGTGCAAAATATATGATGACGATCAATATTGATACCAACGATGGCCTAGTCAATGGAGCCACTGGCATACTGAAGTATATTGATTTTGGTAGAAACTCAACAAAACCAATAACGCTTTGGATCTTATTTTCTGATGAAAGTGTTGGAAGAATGGCGAGAAGAAAAAAACCACATCCCACAGAATTATTGTGGACTCCCATTGAAAAGTGCCGCCGAACGTTTCAGTACAAACGGAATGAACAAATAACTATAGAACGCTTACAGTTTCCATTGGTAGTTGCAGAAGGTATAACCATACACAAAAGTCAAGGCGCAACCTATGAAAAAGTTGCTGTTCATGTTCGGAAAGGTATGAGTAGGGCTTCTCTCTATGTCGCTTGTAGTAGAGCCACTAAAGCAAGTGGGCTATACATTATTGGAACATTTACTCCACCAAAACCTTTCTGCAGCTCTGATGTTGTCAAAATAGAATTGGAACGGCTTAGATTGCATAAAGCCATACACTTGCAGCATAGTAAGTTTAACACATCGAATAACGCTTTCACAATATTTTATCAAAACATACAAAGTCTGAGTGCTCATCATTCTGATATTTCTAGTGATGTCACTCTAATGCATTGTGACCTATTGTGTTTTGTGGAAACGTGGACATACCCGGAAGAAGAACTTTTCTTTGACAATTTCTCAATATTGTCACGAATAGATTGCAATCATACTGAAGGAAGAGTAAGAGATAAGAGGGGTATCGCAATTTATATTAAGAACGAAAAGTTTTCTGAGGCAAATATTATTTGTCAAAAAGATCTAAGCAGAGGCAGAAAATCATTTCAGTATTCCCTCATCCAATTCAGAGATATGTATCTTATAGTACTTTACAGGAATTCTTCATATCCCGAATGCAACTTCAAACGTATTTTACTTGAAGCTATATGTGATATTAGAGAACGTTTCGGCGATAATTCAAATATTGTAATTGTCGGGGATTTCAATATCTGTAGAAGTAGTCGAACTAGTACAATTGAAACTGCTCTTCGTTCAATGGGCTTATTATCAAA